TGTAGACTACCTGGCTATTCAGAGTGTGCAAACAGGTGTTTGTATTCTCTTAAATGTTTCCTCCTAACACCTCTCTGTGGTAAGACCACTAACTATACAGCATATGTAGCAACAAGGAGCCAGAATTTGAGGTTTTGAAGACTTCTATTAACCTGAAACTATTTTCATGAACTGAAGAAGTCTTAGGGATACTGAAAATACTTTTTTTCCTCACCCTAAAGTGATTTCTGTGTGTCTGCCCACAGTGGAGTTGGAATAAGGTCTATTTATAGTAATCATAGAAGACTGATCAGATTTTAAGAGCACCCGACTATCCCTCCAAAGAGCTGTTTTATAGCATTTTGTTCCCCACAGAAGACATACTGTGCATTATACTTTTTCATTCTCACTTTATCTCTTTCTCCTTCAATAACAAATTATTTTTGAGGGAAAGGATGATCCTGCAGGGGAGATGCTATCTTAAAATTCAGATATGTAGGTTTGTTTCCAGAAGACATCCAATTCATCATCTGTGAATTGAAGATAATGTTTCTTTTTCTATTTTCCAAGAAACTTGTGAAAATGAGTCTGCTGTGGACAGAAAGGCATTCAGACAGTATGAAGAGTGTTGTGGAAGGAATTAAGTGTTCTCTGCTCTAAAACAATGGAATGAATGCCAAGCAGCAGCAGTATGAAATGAGGGAAATAAAGCTCTGGCCCAAACCAGGTGTTTTTCATTCCCGCGGTTCATTGGATCTGGCTGTGATTTGGATGTCAGATAACACAATGTCATTTATTTAGCTGAACTGAATAATTTCATTATTACGAGGTGCTAAGTGATCTGCAAAGTGATATTTTCTAATGTTATTTGGCACACATGAAATAAAAACAGGAATAAAACTTGTAAAAATAACTTCCAGTATAGAAAAGATACTAATCGTGTAATTTACCAAAAAAGCAGCTGGAGCACATGGAATAGTTTACATGGCTTTCCAGATCCTACTAATCTCACTTTCATTCTAAAAGTATTCAGATGATACTTAAAACTTTTACTGAAAGCTTTCATTACTTTTTAATGGATATTACCCTTTAAACTTGTTGGTTTAAATCCCCTTGGTTGATAAAGACTTCAAATCAAATTCTATCTTTAATGCTGCCTTTTTGAGCTACGTCCCACTTTTCATTTGAAGCTGAGGAAATGTTTTTAATCTTTTGTAGGTGCACAGTTGAACAATCTAACTTAGCAGTGGTTTTATACCACTACGCATTGCCATTTAATTACTTTATTCTGCATGAGCATTCATTTGTACATTGCAGGAAACAATGGATGTAAAGTAAATGATTCATTTTTTTAGAATGACATTGTCAACCTTTTAAAATCATGCTATTAGGACTTTTTGGAGAAAAGTTCACAGGGAACTTTCATAGGGAACAGCTATTGAATCAGCCACCCACCCCCAGCTTGAACACCAATGTAGAAAGTGGATCTGGAGGAAAGGATGGTTGTTTGATACTTTTGCATATTTTAACTTAGGCCAAAATCCAAATTATACTGAAGTCAATCTACCATGATGACTCTAGAGATATACTTTATTTCTATATGGCTCTGTAACTGTTGACAGACAGTTTTCTTTCCCTTTTTTTCCCCACTTTTATTGTTGGAAGAGGTGCGTATCAGATTTGACCTGAAGGATTTTCATCATCTCCAAGAAAGAGCATTGGTGCCCTTCCCTTTAACTTGTTGTGATGTGACATTTTGACACTCTGTCATTTAGTAAACAATCTTAGTTTTCTTTTTCAAAATGTAACACTTTCATTACTTGTGAATCATTGTTTCCAAGACAACTTGCAACATACCACGGTGAAACCTCCTCGTTCTCTTTCCCATATTTTGACGTGACATTGAGAGTTTGTTTACTTCAAAAATCAAAGCAAAACATTGGGAATGCGAAGAGAAGAGAAAAATAGGTTTAGAAGTGGGACAGCAAGCACCAAGAAAACGTTAATAAAATTCATAAAAAGTATGTGGTGTTTTATGCCTCTACTATAAAGTCTGTACATTTGGGTTATTCAAGGCAGTTGGGTTACATCAACTAGTTACATATTATTAATTTGTGGATTTCTCTTCAGGCATTTCATATCCTCTCAGTTTCTACCACCTGCCAATAACTGCAGTTAAAGAGATGGGCCAGAAATCCGAGCACAGTGTCTTTGCTGTGGATTGCTCTCTATCTATGGATTGTTCACGAGGCTCTGAACTCGTGTGGTGGATAACATCTGTTTGTCTGGGCTGTTTAAGTTTGTCATGTTCCCCCAGGAATGTGAAAGTCAGCTGGAGAGTCTGGAGGCAGAGGAAGGTCACTGCTTTCTGGGGGGACTCCCTGAGCCTGATCCCTGCTGGAGGTGGTGGAGATGCAGGCTGATGACAACACATGTGGCAAGTGGACCTGGGATCCCCAGGCTGATGCCAAGCCTGGCAGCCAGACCTCACATGGCAACAGCCTTGCAGACCCAAGGATGAATTGGCTCTGTTGTTTTCCAGGATTTCATCTTCTTGATGTAAAGACTTGTCCAAGGAAAACTCGTTACTGTACAGAGTATCTACTCGTGTATCTGTCTGTCTGCCAGTGCATGTAAATAAACACTGGCACTGACAACAGTGTAGGAGTTACATTAAAAAAAAAATTAATAAATGTTGCAAATCTGCATGATAGAGACAACTGCATAATTAGAATATCAGTCTGGAATAGCAATGATTTAATTCGAGTTGTATCTTAATCCTACATAACTGTCAAGAAGCTCTAGGTATTTTCATTCCAGGCTCAACAGAACACTGGATTCTGCATTTTTACATTTTTGTTCAGGAAGTATTCATGAATTCAGTGCTTGCATCTGAATTTTCACCTTCCTTAAAATTCAGGGATGTCTGAATGCACCACAGTTTGTTCCTTATTTCCTTCCCTCTGCACTTACTGCTAATCTATTAGTCATTGTTCATCTACTCCTGGTACGCATTTTTAATTTGAATAGCATATGTTGATATGCTTTCAGACATGAGTGGTTTGGATGCTAGTGACATAATTACTGCCTTTTATTAGATAAGCAGTGCATTACTTTAATAAACATAATCATCTATGCTCATAACAGACTTTTGTTGTGATGTAAAATACACAGTTAATGATTTTGAATGCAAATGTGTTCTCAAGGCAAGTAAATGAAGATATGCCCAGCTGGAAAGTTTGAGGATGTTGAAACAACGAAAATTAAAAATTAAGGCAAATTCTGTCATCAGAGAAAGAGAAGTAGTATCTTCTAACTTCAGACTTTTAACTTCGTTCGTTGAATGAGTTTCTTTTTAAATCACTTTGAGTGCAAAACTGTCTCTTCTATTTTTGAAGGCATGGATGTGAGGGTTACTACAGACGAACCTGTATGTGATGCATCCTTCCTGCACAGATCTCATCTCTGTTTGGTTCCACCCAGCCCAGCAGGCAGGCTGGGAGAGAGGGTTGTGCTGATGGCTCAACATTCAGCGGCTCCCCAGGGCCTGCCTGCCCCGGTGGATCTGCCTGCTGGCACAGCCCTCCTGCCTGCTGTTTGATTCCTCCCTCTCTACACAAAATTCTCTTTATTCCAACTGTATCACTAGTATGGGAGTTTGATAAAGTGTTTTTATACTTACTTGCCTTTGTAGAGTTGGACTTTCAGCTCTCTTTCAGCACACTTCCTGTGGTCTAGGCTTTGGCCAAGCATCTGTATATGTATAAATGATTTCCAAGAAATGTCTTATCCATCCACTCAGCTTAAGGGAGAGGTCACATATGTATTTCCTGAGACTGAAAACCTTGCGTGTCACAGAGAGGGCCCATCAGTGCTGTAATCCCCTTGCTTTGGTAAAAAGAGAGAGTCTGAAAATAGTGACAGTGGTAGAAACAACCAGTGAAATTTGTTTCCTTTGAAGAGGGGTGTGTATGGACTAGAACTAGTCTGGGATGTCAGGACTATTGCTATCAAGCAAGAAATGGCACTGTTATCACTAAACTGAAAGGTCAGCTCTGTTGGAAGTGCCAATTACTGGTAATATTTGAAGTGCGTTTCTTGGTCTAATTGGGAAATATTTTTAAAAGACAGTAGAAATCATGTGAGTGAGTTGTGAACTTTGTGTTCCTCCAGGCGAATTACTGAGGTGGATTCCTAGGGGAGATGGGGAAAATGCTTCTAAAAAAATGTGACAGATGTCTTTTGGGCATCAGAGCCTTGTTAACAGTCTCCTGCCTTTGTCCTGGGTTTACTGCACCAATATAAAGTTTAAAACTGCTGATGCGGGAATTCAAACAGACTTCAGGAAATAATCTTCATACAGTGCTTTGCCGCACTGTGAGCTTTCAGAGATGGCTGCTGTATTTCACCTCATAATTTTCACGTGCTTACATGGAGAGCAAAGAGAAAATGCTATCAATGGAGGAGTTTGCCACGCATCCACCATGGACTCTTTACATCCTTAAATGTATAAGAATAATAAATAATATGTCAGGCATGTTCACAGAGTGTGTTAGGTTGCCTAGAGGAGCTGCCTCTAACTTTTGTCTGTACATCTGTAATGTATTGAGCAATTTTTCTGTCCTTGCTTTTTTTTTTTTAACCTGATGAATTCCTGGTGAAAGCTTTCTCTTGGCTCACAATTCAAAAATAACATTGTCTGCAAACTGCTGCTGGTGTTTTAAGGTCGCTCCAGTTCCTGCAGAAGGTAAAGAAACTGTGCCCAAGGTCTGACTGCCTTTGCTTGCTGCTCTTGCCTCCTGCATTCATAGAGGCTCCTTGATGGAGCCCAGACAACAGAAAGGACAAAGCATATTTCTCATAGTCAGAATCGGGAAGCACAGTGCCTCATAGTTGGTTTGGTTGGGTTTTTTTCTGTTGGTTGGGGTTTTTTGTTTGTTTGTTTGTTTGTTTACTGTAAGACACATCACTCTCATTGTAAAATTGTCCCAATCACTTTCTTGTTTTGCCTCTTTTAACAGAGCGATGAGGTTTTAACCGTCATCAAAGCCAAAGCACAGTGGCCGGCCTGGCAACCTCTGAATGTGTAAGTAAGTGGGGAATTGTGTGCCTCAATAGCCTTGTGTTGAGTGTGGGCTAAAGGGCCGCTCTAATAGTCTCACATAACCATTCACTCTGGTAAATAAATAATCTAAAAATATGTTGATAAATGGGGGAGGTGTTTGTTGGTTTGGTTAGTTTAGGGGGTTTTTTGGTCTTTTTTTCTGTTGTTGTTTTTGATTTCTTTTTGGCGGCTATTGAGAGTTTTTGGCTTTTAGTTTGGGGGTTTTTGTTTGTTTGTTTGTTTTCCCAGCAACTGCTTCTCTCTTTCTTTCCTCTTTAGCATGTCTTCATTTTTTTACATGCTTTGGTTCACTCACTGTTGCAGCAGGACTATCCTGTGGAGTTTGTGCCTTCTACAAATAAGTGGTGATGTTTATTCAATGCTTGCTCAAATATATGTCGTGCTATTGTACACATAGGAGCAGTATTTTTTAGCATCCTGCCTCAAAGACTTTGACAACGCTTTGTATCGATACAGCAAATCCTCATCCACCAACTCTCAGTCTAAAGGACTAATTCTTCAAAATGCCTATCTGAAACATTCCACGGTTGCATCATGATTCTGATGGTACTGTAACCATCACTTGGTTGTTTCACCTAGTGGCACTCAGCAGATAAGAGGACAAAACTCTTCTTTCTGGATATTCTTGAATTTACTGGTGGCTTTTCAAGGGAGGTGGAGGAGGTGTCAGGGTAGGGTGATGTTTCTCGAATAACTTACCTGTACTTGGCCCAAAGTTGATACTATCCAAGCCCAAATGAGCGAGACTTACAAGAAGTGACTAAAGATGAGAGCTCAGTAGAAGGGGTCAACTGATTAGCTGACAGTCGAATTAAGTCCTTGGAGAAGCAGATCAGTTAGTTTACTGCAAGATTGTACAGACCAGGTACTCCTGTTTCCTCTGTAAAAAGTATAAGGGAAGTAGTGAAATGACGTGCCTGGCTTTGTCATCTGTATCTCAGAAAGTATGTGAAAATTTGGAGGGTAGTCAGAAAAAAACTGCAAGAGAGTTCAGTTTTCAGAAAACATTCCCTACCCTAAGGGGTTTAGAAACTCTTAAGCAGCTTAGGACTTAAGCTGTTCATTTTATCACCTCCCTCTCTGGAAAAAAAAAAAATTAAAAAAAAAGAGGTTAGGAGGTGAGCACAGCTCAAACAGTGAAAAGATTTATGATAGCTGATCCCTCTTTAATCTGGGGGGGGGGGGGGGGGGGTGAACCAAGGCCAAAGTACGAAATCCCTCCTAGCATGGAAGCTAAGGAAATTCTTGACAAGGAAATTCTAACTAAAAGTATGGGAAAAGACTTTACCACTGTGACTAACCTCCAGAGCAGCTTACCTGAGCATGAGATGGATTTTCCATCACTTGAATATATTTTAACCCTGAGACAGAGTTGTAGGCTCCACAGAGAAATTGCAGGTTAGGCTTTTTTTGACAGGTGTAATGCAAGTGGTCAGTTGAGGTGACAGTAATGGAACGTCTCTTTATGGTCTTAACCCACTGAAATATTCACTGTTTAGATTTGCCAGTGTTTGCCTTGTAGTGGCTGTGGGTAGCATTTTTTTCCTTTGCTGCCTTCTTCCTATTCACTCAAAACTAACACTTTTTTTTTTTTTTTAATGAAAACTTTTGTCCACTTCTCTGTTCTGTTCTGGTGACTTCTCAGACTGAAACAAGCCAGGTATTTTTTCATTCCAATTTCAGTTACTTTTATAAAGCAACATTTATATCATGTTTCTGCATTAAAGTGAGCAATACTACTAGGAACTGACTGCTGTGGGTGCTTGGAATGATTTGACATTGACAGGAGAGCAGGTTTGTATTTTTTTACAGGAGATGAAAAGAGGATCTCCTGCTTACATCACAAAAATCAAAGCTAATTAAAGTATGTTTCCCCTATGATCATAATGCTGAATTTAATATGGCTCTGAGAAACTTCACAAAAAAGTTGTGTGAACAACTTCAGATACTTTCTAGGGGATATTCTTTACAGACATACCTGCAAATGCTTTTGCAACATCCTTCAGATGTTTTTCCAGTCAATTCTTGCCTTTTCTATATGACAGTTCTTACCTTTCAGTAACATCAAAAAATCTTTATATTTATGCTTTCAAATGCTCCTCAAGGGTTCCTCTAACCCTTCACTTTACAGGTAGTATTTGATTTTTTGCTTTTTATACAATTTTTTAATCATATATTGCCATGATGTTCTACTTTTTAATTCCATTTAAATATATGTTCTAAGCACACAAGAAGAGAAAACTTTCAAAATCCATTAACTGGTGTTAATTTCCCATTTACCATAATGGATGGTCCTTCTTGAAATTTAGATTAGATCTGTGCAAGTATTGGATAATGACTCTTCAGGATAAACATTTGGTCTATTATTATGCATAGCACAACCATCTTCCTAATCAAGAATTGACTAAAAGTCATGAATATTCTTCTTTTGCTTAATCATTGGTTATGTATCTAATGTATAACATGGTATGATAGTGATGCCAAAGTGGTGTTACAACGTGTCATAATAAGCACAGCATAAAAACATTCCTGAATGTATTTCACAACAATTATAAAATGCATAATACTAATTTATTTATGGAGGTCCAAACTGTCAAAAATTGTAAAACTCAGCCTGCTCTCACTTTAAAGTTTACTACCCAATTCCAGGTAATGAATGTTATTGCCCACCCTGTCCGAGTTAGATTACCAAGTTAGTTATGGTGATTACACTTTAAATCAGAGGGAGAAGAGCAACAGTTGCCACCAAAGCTTGTGAGAGGGCTGTAAGAGCATTAATCTAATTGCTGCTGTTGTGGAGAACGTGGGATGAGGCACTGTGGACACCAGGCTGCCACCCTGGTGAATATTGTATCAGAGCATAACACCCCAGAGACAGCAGGGCTGAAGGGCAGGGACACACAGAGGTGGTGACAAACACTGTAATGGAGGCACCAGCTCAGTCAGGCCCCATCCTCTCAGGGGAAACTCAAAAGAAATCAGATGGAAGCACATCCTGAGGCTCGGCACAGCCCCAGGTACCAGCCCCACTGCCCACTCAGAGGAATTGTCAACCAGGACGGGCACCATGCCTCCCCTGGGGCTGCTGACTCCTCTCCATCTTTCCAAAACAACCAGGGAGATGCAGCACCTTCTCTCCTTCCAGAGGCTTTAGCAAGACAAGATGAGATGCTAATTCTTGCCCACATCTTGAGTAGGTGGTTGTGAACCCTTGTGTTTCCACTCTGGTCACCCATAATAACATGTGAGAGGATGATCCTGTCTGGGCACCTCTCATGGATTCATCATGGACTTAAATGGCTTTTCTTCTCCCCAGTCGATGCTGGTCAATAAGGTTGTGACTCCTGAGGCCAGTCACACCTCATTTAATAAATTTTCAACCCCTTGTATAGAGGGAATGAAGTGTCTAAGTGTATGTCTAAATCTCACCATGTCAAAGTCTTTGGTTCATGACACCAGAGATAAGGAGGGAAATATAATTGGGAGCTTTTCTTCTGCTGATAGAGAAGAAGTGCAGATCCAGTGGGCACAAAGTGCCTCGCCAGGGAGAGTTCTTTAGCTTCAGATATGAGTCAGATAAAAGAAATTACAGTAGGGGACAAAACAAGTTGCCAGCCCTAAGCAGAGAAGGAAACAATGACAGTAAGTAGTTTTCTGAAGTGCTTTCTGTTAGCTACAATTAAGGTTAATACACTTTAGCATATTGTCATCCCCCAGTACGATTATTGGTGTGGAAACTATATCCTACCATATTTCTCTGTCTGCTTTTTATCATTCCTCTTCTCAGTCCCTATATGTGCTCTTTGTCACTGTTTTCCATTATTATTATTCTTCCTATCACTCATCTTCATTATTCTTCATTTGGTTTCTTAACCAGGGCTCCAGTATGCAGAAAACTCTCCTGAGTTCTCACATGTAGGAAGAGAAAGATTTGGGTGATCTTTGTGATCCAGTTTTACGGTCGCCCAGCTGAAGGGCAATATTGGTAGCATGAGAAGGGCGAGTGCCAGACAAAGCAATAAAACATTCTGCTGTTGCTTATACTTGTATTACCAAGTTGTGTGTCTGAAATTCTGACTTTAAAGTACTCGCAGGGAATGCATTCTTCCTTGAGCTCGCTGGTATCAGTATACAGCATGCTGTCAAATCAAAGCAGTTTTTCTTATCTCACTTGTATAAACAAGAGCACACCTCATCGCTCCCTTCCTCACAGCCACCTTTCGGGCAGAATCAAATTTTATTTTCATACTCAGCTGCAAATCATTGGCCCTTGGCAGTATGGAGGATAAAATACATCAAAACCAGATAATGCCACTGCTATGCAAATCTGCATATCCGGCACCTGTAAAATAATCAAGCCATGACAGAAGAATTTGGGATAAAGGAGGCAAGACAAGTTAGTATGCATCAAATTATCAGGGAGCTAATCCCTTTTTAAAATTTTCCTTGAATTCACCTTTTTTTTTTTATTTATTTTTTTTCATTTTTGGCTGTATTCATTATTCCTTTTATTTCAAATCCAGACATCTCTGTTGTGACACAAAGGGAGAAGTATTTGAGTCACAATTCTTGTGTCTAATCACTATTTGTTGTTCCTGTAAAGCAGGGAAAAGGCATCCCCATGTACACTGTGGAATACAGACTTCCATGGACATATATAGCATAACACTCATAAATACAAACATGGATCAGATACAGGATGGAGATCATTTTCCAGTGTGTCATGTGTCCAATTATTAAATGCTCAGACCTTATAAATTATTAAATACCAGTAGAAATAGTGTGAGTTTACCAGTATTTTTATCTCTTTATTCTGTCTTTTCCTGGTACATAAAAAGGTGATATTCATTTGGAGAAAAAAACCAACAAACCAAACCCCAAACAAAGTAGCTTTAACTTTCTGTTAAACATTTCAGATTCTAAAAAAATGGCAAGACCTCACTTCTCTGCACAAAGAAGAT